GCATTTCAGCACCTCTGCTCTTTGGCCTCATTTTTTTTACTTTTCTCTCCCCCCAACATATCAGTCTTTATTTCCTTTAATGGCTAGCTTGACTTTTTTAATTAAAAAAATAGCAGCTTTCAAAAAATGAATGAAAATAGCTGAGATTTGTAATAGCTTAAATGTCAAGAAACCAATAAAAGAAATGGCTTGCATAGGTAAATGAAGAGCTTCACTCACTATCCCTTATTCATTTAGAATAATCAGTGATATTTATTGTTTTTCTTTATCTAGTGCATGGTTTGAATCTTGTTGCACAAGAATCTGGGCAGCCTGGCAGGGTGTCTTTGAAAACTCCCTTGTATACTACATTATATACAATGTATATAAAGGCAACATTTATACAGTTTCCATATTCTCTGTAATTGCATTTAAGATTTGATGACTAATTCAAAATTTCCTCAGGACTTGAGGAGCCTTTAAATTGTGTGGAGTATCCTCTCCCAGCAGCATGTTTGTTTATATCTTCATTTGTTTCCTGTGCAATATTCTTCTTCTTTTGTACTTTAGTTATAGTGATGAACTATGATTTAAATATGTGTAGTAATTTCCCCATTCAAATACCTTTTAAACACCTTAGGAAAATATATGGTTACCAAAATATATCATTCATATTAACTTATGTCATTTTCCCCACAAACATTAGAATGGGATAAATGAATAATACACACAACTATGGATAGAATTTTTTTATTACCTTTTAATTTATGGAAAAGAACTCATAAGTAAAATGAAAATTCTCTAATAACTTATCAGATTAAAAGCAATTAAAACAGTAGCTCAATACTGAATATTAGTTTAAAGTAGCCTGTATAATATGATGTTATAATAGTATATGTTAAAATGAAATGCAGTGTAATATTACTGCCCTGTCTAAGCATGTAGCAATAAACAAATATTGTTAGAATTTGTGATACCATATTTTGCTGTATGACTGCACATTAGATTCATTTGACTTGTAGCGCATACAACTTAGTATTTGTTTCAATTCAAATTAATTCAGTGTTCTTGTCAATGTTCTCTTTCTCAGAAATATTTCCATCTAGACTAAACAAACATAAATATAAAAAGCAGCACAAAGCATGGATTTTTTTTATGTATACTGCCTGAAAAACAGTAATCAGGAGAATAGGTCCAACTTCCAAGTTATCTGTGGATGAAACAAAGAAAAAGTAAGGGTTTATATATAACATGTTTCTTCTTTTGTTTCTAATTAAATGCTTGATAATGCAAAGGATGTATTTGGTAGCCATGTTGGTCTGAGACAAAAAGAAATGCAAAACTGTAGAATTCTTGGTTCAGAGATGATACCTTTTATTAGATCAGCTGATACTTTCAGTGAGAGTTGTAGATCCCCAGCACCTTACAGAAGGCACGTAGCTTTTTGCAGCATTGGGTAAAAGTCCCCCCAAACTTAATCACCTGAACAGTCTTATTAAAGACAACTAGTACAAATATCAGTGGTATCATTGGGGCTGATTTTCAATGCTTGTTGAACTCAGTGGAATGACTTCCAGTGATTTCAACAGGCTCTGGATCAGACCCAAAGTGCCTACACCTGCAGCCTTATACTGTACAGACAAAATTGCAATTAATTTTAATGGGACATTTGCTTAAGTGTAGACTATAGAAGCAGTAACATATTTTACTGCTTCACACATAACATAAAACATAAAAGCTTAATCTCTAGTAGGCATACTGATTCTTGTATTTGGACAAACAGCTAAGAACATACTATTCCCATAACACATTAAAAAGCAACTTTAATATGCAATAAACTTTCAGCTATTCTTCCCTAATAAAAATTATATCAATTTCTCACATATTACTACTATTCATAAGCATTTTCTTCACAATAAGTGTTTTGCAATAAAACCACTGTTTCTTTATACCTGTGACTTTCAGTGCATTTTTCTTACATGCCTCCTAGCAATGCTTTGCAGGGTGACTGGTGGAGTACCTCAGTCGCCCCATTTTCCCATGCCCTATGCCTCTTTAGATCCAATTCTCAAAGAAGTATATGCATAGGAAAAAGGAACAACGAGCAAAAGTAATGGAAATTCCCCAGGTGGCAAGGGTGCAGAGAGGGAACCTAGAGTATAAATATATCCATTAATAATATCGGAGAATAAAAATCAAGAATAGTCTTTACATTTATACTTAAAATGTTTCCTTAAAGTAATCAGTAAACCAGTTGGAAATCGATGCAGGTTCAAACAGCACTTAAACACAAGAAAAGGATCATTAAGATATCCAGTCTCTAACAGTGATGTAAAAATGAATCGGTACACTGAAAATAAAGCCATTTAATTTAGCTGTTTGAAAAATAGGGGAGAGAGAGAGAGCCTACAAAAGGGAAAAACACCCCCAAAAAATTGTTTTCAATAAACTATGAACTTCAGATAATTAACAAAATAATTGTATTTTGCATGAAGTCCAGCACTATTGTGCAATATTTAGGTTTGAGTTTAAAGCCAAGAAAATACTCATTAGAATTGCAGTATCACAAACATAAGAGTAAGGAAAAACTTTGTTTATAAACTGAGAAGTACTACAAAAAGTCTTCTCTGCAAACAACAAATATGACTTACCTTATTAGCTGTCTCAATCTCTGACTGCACCCAGTTCATTTTCATCAGAATTTATGCTTTGCTCAAGACCTTGAAGAAGTATGAACAATACAGTGTGGCTGTTTTCATAAGCGATAATCAGTTTGCCCCTTGCCAAGGCCTCTGCTGCACCTGCGAATTGGGCCTACAAAAATGCTGCTTCATTAAACCGCTAAAACTTGGAAAGTATCACTTTTATGTTGGGGGAGGCCAGTAAGGGAGTGCAACTGACAATAGGACTGATAGAAATAATTAGGAGTGACGGCCTGAAATGTATGCTGAGGTTGAGAATTTATCACTTGTTTTTTCTTTCACATACGTCAATGAGCTGAAAAATGTAAACCGGGGAGAGAACTTCTCGTTCTGGAAAGCTGCATTACATCTCTCCACCTCCCCCCATCCCCCTTCCTCTCTTTTTTTGAAATCTCTATCAATGTCCTTCAGTGCAAGCATGGGTTTAGTGAGAAGATATCAAGGTCTGTGTACAAGGCTTTCTCCTGCTTATCCAGGCACCAGTGAGGCTCCCTGCGGGGTGCCAAGGCTGAGAATTATCTTTCACCATATTTAATCCTTATTGCTAACAAATGCTTTAACCATTTGTTTTCTAGGGGCTATTTTTTCCTTTAGCAAGTTACAACACTTTCCTTGATCTCTTATGATATCAACCCTTACCTAAAGGTGCCATATGAGCATAAATGAAGATCTGTTTACTCCTTAGAGGAAGGCTGGGTGAATTGATTCAGTGTAGATCAGAGTGCCATGGTACCTGTAGTTTCTCTTGTGTACCAAATAACCACAGTGCTAATTGCTATATGCTGCTGATTATATGTGAAGATTGAAGATGGGTGTAACTCAGTGAGAAGTCCTGTTTCAACTGTAGAGCCAGTGTTCAAAACAGGCTGGGATTTTCAGAGGAACATAAGGGAACTAGATCACCGGATACTTTTGAACTTGGAACTAGGTACTTCATGCACATTTGTGATTTTGAAAATCTTTCCCTTAGGGCATATGTAAGGTTTTAATTTTCCAGAAGCAAAGTTTTTAAATAGGCATCTACAGAAACTGCTGTTTGCATCTATTTCCTTTGGGTGTCCTATTTTGAAGCTAAAACTTTGCTCCTGTCACTGTCTTATTCTTTGTTTTCCCCCCATAATCAGTTGGGTCCTAGTTCTGTGGCCCCTCCTTTAGAATTAGGGTGGTGGGTCCTATAGTTTTGGCTAGGGCTGGAGTCTGACCCACCCTCCTCAGGGTTTTCTGTAAGATATAGTCACTTCCCAAAGAGATTCTGTGCCTCCAGCCTGAAGTCATGCTGGTTGTGCTCTGAAACAGGTGGTGACTCTTTTGTTCTTCGATTTCCAGCCTCTCTTCGTGTGTGTGTTGTCACTACCTTTCCATGCCCCCCCACCCCCCACCTACACAGCAAAAGCTAACATCACTCAGTCTTCGGTCTTTCCAGGGTGAGAATGGGCTCATTACTCGGGGGTGCTGAGTGAGCACCTGGTCTCCAGCCACTTATAGACTCATGCTGTAGGGAGTTATCGAATTAGGAGTTCTGGCCTATGGTCTTATACATTATCAAGGTTTACTTGTTCTCAGTGTGTCCATGCTGAAAGGGAATGGGTTATCAGCTCGATTGCAAGTAGCACTCATGTTTTAGGTCATAGCCCCAGACAGGCCACCAGGCTGAAAGCATCACTTACCTTTAGGAGAGTGTTGTGAACAGGAACTGTGCCAGGGACACAGTAAAACTTGGAGCTTATTCTACAGTGGAGAAAAGTTTCTAGGATCTGATTTTGCAGTTCTTAGGTGTATTATTAAGGTGAATGATCCTACTGGAATGAAAAGTTTTTTTCCACTCAATACACTTACTAATGTGCTGGGTGACTGGTGTCTCCTGAGTCTGGGGGGACACCTGCAGAAGCTGGCATCAGCGGTGGGGGGGGGGGGGGGAAAAAAGGGAAAGAAAATAAAAGCAAGGGGGGT